GGTAGCGTATACAAACTACGAGTCGGCACCGCTTTGGACGCGATTAAAAGTTGTCGTTAAAATCAAGACACCTTGCCCATCGACCTTCGTCGTCGTGCGCTGCCAATTGGTTTGCACTTTCCAACTTGCTTTGCCCCGACGACGACTCGATGGGGCGCAAGAAGAGCCAACGCAACAACCCCAAGAAGCGTGCGATTCCGGATGGCCGTTCGGAGAAGGGCCAGCCAACGCCGAACGGCCAGCAAAAACAGAAATCCGATTTTGCGATGTCAACGAGCCCGACGTCGACCAGCGCCCCGACGGCCTCCACGACCTCGTCGCCGCCCACTGCCTCGTCGCCGCCCGCTGACGCCGCCATGTCGCCAGCCGCTGTCCCAGCCCCAGTGTTCAGCGTCATGGACGGTGTCATCACGCTTTGCGGCCTCGAGGCGGCGGCCAGAGTCTACCTCGCGCAAGACGAAGACGCGCCCGAGCTTCTCATTGCGAGCAATGTTCCTCTTGTGCACTGGCTTCAGCACGGCTTGGACAACCGCCTCTTCAACGTGTATTGGAGCTGCCGGTTTGAGGGCGACGCAGCAGACCCGACGACGCTGGCGTCCGTCTACATTGTCCGTGCGATTGGAAAGCCGCATCAGGGTGGAGTCGACGAGCTCAAGGAATTGATCACTCCTCAGGAAGGAAACCATTTGATCGTCTGTACTGGCTTTGATCTTAAGCTGCTTGGACAGACGCGAGTGCCCGACTTGGCCGTCTTCCAGAAGTTCCGCGACGGCGAGAACATCGATCCGTGCATGGTCGTGGAGCTCGAGCTCCTAAACCGCAGCTTTCCGCGCTTGCTCGAGTGGCTGGTCGAGTACTTTGGACTGATTCCATCTCTTCGGACCGCGGTCGGCATCAAGATCTTTGGCCCGCAGGATGGCAACGCGCGCCAGTTTGGCGCCATCGTCGTCATGTTGAGCCGCGCAGCTGGGCATGCGCCGCAGCTCGTGTACGTGGCCAGCATCGGCACGGCGCCACTGACAGAGCAAGCTCTGATCGGCATCGCTGAGGTGATCCGACGGGAAGACGTCGATGCGATGCCACACTTTGAAGCCAACATTGCTCTCGAGATCGCGCTGGGGCATCGCGAGTGGCAGCTCGATTCGGCCGCTCGCCCCGTGCTGCACATTACGATCACAGATCTGCTCTACGAGGATACCCACAACCTCCTTGCGGGCGCGCCACCAACGACCGAGCGCCTCGAGATCGATCTGTACAAGGTCATCTTGAAAGTGCACGATGCCATGGAACCACCCGTGATTACGAACGCCGTTTCTGGGCCTGTGCTGGCGGTGCAATGGCCCTTGGCCCTCCGTGCGGCCGCGAATGCAGTCCAAGGCGCAGAGGACGATCCTCCGATGGACGAACCAATGGAGTAGATTGGCAACAGCAGTTTTAGGGTGCGTTCGGTTCACCACCTACTTTCAAAGTGCGTATCGCAAATCCACACAACTTCGATTGCAACGTTTTCCGGAGCGCGCTTTTTGTGGCGTGGATTGCAAATCGCGTTCGGTTCATCGATGGACGCCGACTTTCGGAGTTTTAGGACAACACATGAATGGCCCGCGGCGGCGGACGGCCGGCCACCGAGCGGCAACCGTGGATCATCGCTGCGATGACTATGGCTACTACAGGAGAGCTCATGCGATGACCATTGACGCGGCGTACCATACATGCGATGCTCATACTCGTGCGCAGACTGACGGCGGCGCCCGGATGGCGCGACGCGGCGGCCTGTGCTTGGGTTCCGTGGGCTCTACTGCGTCGATCTGGAAGCTACAAGAGCGCGCTCTGCGCATGTAGTTGCAGCATGGTGGAGCGCTCCTAGCGCACCTATAGTCCTTAGGCGTCAAGCGCCAAGAAGCGCGTCTATGGGGAGCGGTGTGGCGCGCAGCGTCCTTGCGTTGGTTCATGTTGCACCAAGCAAGCAAAAAAGGACAGGGTGAAAATAGGACCCAAATCAGGATTTTCGGATCGAGGAAAGGATTTTTCCCAAAGCAGTGGAAAGTGCGCCCAAGGTTTGTCTCGGGATCCCGGCCGAGACGAACTTTGGAAGTGTGCTCTTTTTCCGGAAAGTGCGCCAAGTTGTGCGGATTTGAACCGAATGCGCCACGCAACACATTTTTTTCGAAGTTGCGTGGATGGCCTCGAAGTGTGAGAAATGTGCGCACTTTAGGTGAACCGAACGCACCCTTCACGACTTTGATCGAATCGAGTTTGTGTTTGCATGCGATCTTGATTGTCACTTTGGGTTGTGGATTCGCGGTGGAGGGACGTGGTCTAGGCGGACGCGGATGGAAGCGCGGTACAAGGTGCTGGGCCGGCCACTCGTGTGGAGCAAGAAGCCGAACGAGGTCGCGTTACTCAGGTGGCACCTCCTCGTGACGGCAAGCGAAACAGATGACGCACTCGTTCCGGCCAAGCATTGAACGAGACATCGGGCACGGGCCTGCTTAAAGAATGTCATGTCCGTAGTTGGCAGAGTCTCACGGGCCTCTGCGTGGCAATCTGTCAAGATACGCCGACATATCGATCTTGAACAGGCAAGTGCTCGCCACCTATGAAGCAGCGTCAAAGCTGCCCTTGGCGCGCACACTATTTGGCTTGTGTCCATTCCGCTTCCATGGTGCTCACCCTCCTGCTCACGGAGCACCATGTCCAAGTGCGCTGCTAATATCTCGGGCTAGGTCACCGGCACCGTCGCTGTCGTGCAACCGTTCGGGCAAGCATCATTCCCCTGGTAGAGTTGCGGACCTTTCTCGTAATCTGGTTGGGACGAGGCGCGTAGAATGAGCAATCGCAAGCGCCTTCAACAAGCAAATAGCCAAGCGATTCCGAATGGCCATTCTCGGAACAGCCAAGACTGCCATTTTATCATGTTAGCGAGCCCGACAGGAACGAGCGCCCCGATGGTCTCCACTGCCACCTCCGTGCCATCGGTTGCAGCAGTGTCATCCTCCTCCTCGGCCACCGATGCACCGTTTGTGGTCATGGACGGCGTCATCACGCTCCGTGGCCTCGAGGCAGCGGCCAGAAGCTACCTCGCGCAAGACGAGGACGCACCCGAGCTTCTCATTGCGCGCAACGTTCCTCTTGTGCACTGGCTCGAGCACGGCTTGGACAACCGCCTCTTCAACGTGTATTGGAGCTGCCGGTTTGAGGGCGACGCAGCAGACCCGACGACGCTGGCGTCCGTCTACATTGTCCGTGCGATTGGAGGTCCGCACCAGCGTGGCGTCGGCGCCATCAGCTTCTTGCGCACGCCTCTGGAGAGAAACCATTTGATCTCCACGCTGGGCTTTGACCTTGTGCTGCCTGGACAGACGCGACGACCCGATACGGTCTTCTTCCAGCAGTTTCGGGACAGCCGGAACTCCGAGCCGTGCGTGGTCGTGGAGCTCGAACACAGGAACCGCAGTTTTCGGCGCTTGCTCGAGTGGCTGCTCGGGTATTTCGCGCTCATTCCGTCTCTTCGCACGGCCGTTGGCATCAAGATGTTCAAAGGACCAGACGACAACCCTCGCCAATTCGGCGCCGTCGCCGTCCAGCTCAACCGCGCGAATGGACACGCGCCGCATCTTGCATACGTGGCCAGCATTGGCACGGGTCCGTTGACGCCGCGCGCCATGAGCGACATCTACCAAGTGATAAGGCATGAAGATGCGGATGCTATGCCGCACTTTGAAGATGGCGTGGCCCACGAAGTTGCACTCGGACACAAAAGCTGGCAACTCGATGCTATGGACTGCCCGGTGCTGAAGATCAAGGTCGCGGATCTGCTCTTCTTGGACGATAATGACCTCCTTGCTGACGCGCCACCAACGACCGAGCGCCTGGAAATGGACTTGTACAAGGTCATCTACCAGGTGCACGATGAGATGGTACCAAAAGTGACTGTGATCTATCCCGCTCGCTCGAGCGTCGTGGCGCCTGGGACCTTGCCCGGGAGATTGGCAGCGTATTGGGCCAGGGCGCTGCGTGCAGCGAATGAAGACGAGGGTGAAGGGGACGATGCTCCAATGGACGAACCACTGCAGTAGGTCGTCACCGCTTTGAATGAATTGACTTTGTTGTGCAGTACTACTGATTACAGATGCTGGTCACATCGTGGTTTCAGACTCGAATAGAGAGGGCGATTGAGATTCAACAATCAAAGCTGAGATGGTCACGATCGCTCGGCGGCGGCGACAGACCCACCGCACGCTTGTATTGATATTATTACCAAGCATGCCAAGCCAACAACAAATGCATTCGAAAGCTGATCAATGCATATCATTGCATCACCCACGAAATTTGAACCGTGGACATGGCGTTGCACACTTTCTGGGGGGACACCTGCCAACGTCCCCATCGCGCCTCGTCCCAACCACGCGCCAAGAGAAAGGCCACGAATTGCATTGCTACCACAGCCAATTGGCAAGAACCATCGATACACTCACCAAATTTATTCCCTTTCGCATCATGTCTGCGAGCCCCCTATCCACCGCTGCTGCCTCGATGTCGCTTGTGGACGCACCGTTTGTTGTCATGGAAGGTGGCATCACGCTCCGGGGCCTCGAAGTGGCCGCCAGAGTTTACCGCGCACAAGAGGAAGACGAAGCGACCGAGCTCCTCATTGCGCACAACGTTCCTCTCGTCGCTTGGATGAACAGCGACATCAAAAACGGAGCCTTTGGCGCCATTTGGAGCTGCCGATTCCACGGGGATCCCACGGACCCGACGACGCTCGCGTCCGTCTACATTGTTCGCGGGATTGGATCCTCGAGTACCTACGCCTAGTTCGCTCTGTACTAGTTGGTGCTTTTGAAATGACTTGTTTAGTGTTGTGCTGTGTAGCGTCGAGCTACGATCTCGATTTGATCAGTCGTGGCCCCGACTGAAAGGTCATCTTCTTCGTCCAAGCAATAGGGTCGGGAGTTGCCTCGTTGGGCTGTGGTACTGGACAAGGGATAGGGTGGCGCGCGTCGATCGTCCGTGCGGCATGTGCCGAATTTAATTTGGACCAATCAAGAGCGTGGTCGTGATTTGAAAATTGAATTTTGGCACGATGACCGAGCGACCGGTCAAGGTCGTCGTCCGCGTGCGGTCGCCGCCGACGGAGCTTTCTCGGGGCGCGCCACGGAGCATGGAGGTGCAGCGGGACCTGGGCCGTCGGCAGGCCACGACCGTCAAGATCGGCGACGAGCGCATGGACTTTGACCAGTGCTACGACGAGACCGCGACGCAGCACGAGCTCTTCCGGCGCGAGATGGCCGCCGCCATCCCACTCGCCTTTGACGGCAAGAGCACGACGCTCATCGCGTACGGCCCTGGAAAGAGCGGCAAGACGTTTACGATCGACGGATCGACGACGAGCCCTGGCCTTGTACCCCGCACGATGCAGCGCTTGCTCCAGTTCCAGCAAGCGTCGGCGCCCCTGCATACGATCCAACTGAGCGTCCTCGAGATCCACCGCAACAAGGTCTTTGACCTCCTCGATACGAAGAGCGATCGAACCGACCTGCCGATCCGGCAATCGGCGACAGGCAACGTCGTCGTTCCTGGTCTCGCCACGCTGCCAATCACGACATTCGCGCAGTTTAGAAGGCTCTACGAGCACGCGAGCCGCCCCCAAAGCCGCGAGAGTCACAAAATCGTCACGTTCTCGGTGCAGACGACCGGCGTCGATGGCGAGCCCACAGCCGGTACGATCCATCTTGTGGACTTGGCCCGCGTCGACGAGTCGCGCCGACGGAGCCTGCAGCCTCGGTCCAGCGACAGCAGCAGCAACGCGATGACGTTTTTCGTCCTCGGCAAAGTTCTCGGCGCAATCAACGAAGGCAAGTCGCTCGTACCGTTCCGCGATAGCAAGCTCACACGCCTTTTGCACGACGGACTCTGCCGCGACATGCACGCAGCGACGCTCCTCTGCACCGTATCGACCGCCAACGTTGACGATGCTTTCCACGCATTGCAGTACGCAGCCAAGGTCCGTCACCCAACGACGCTCCGAAGCCCGATGCAAATGACGCCCGAGACGTCGGCCCTGCCACCACCCGACCCGACGCCAACGCTCAGCTCCCTCGAAGAGCGCCTCGAAGCGTGGCGTCGGAGCAAACTCACAAAGGCAGCGCTGGTGACGCCCGAGCCGACGAAGCGACCACGGGCGCCAAGCTTTGCATCCGACGAGCCACCCAAAAGCCAAAGCTCGAGTCGCCACCCAAGACACCGGTCGCTCTCAAGGCGGCGCCGACGGGCACGCCCAAGACGCCGAGTCGCATTCCGATGCGCCGGGAGAGCATCGCTCCGCTAACGACCGTGCGCAAGCCGCTGAGGTACGCGATGCGGACCCTCGGACCGGATCTTGACGCTGTGTAGCAACCTCACCAACCTCCCACCGACCATCACGCCGACCAAGGACACCTTCCAGACCCCCGTGAAGGTCAGCAAGCCAAGGTATATGCACTATTGGATAGTATTCAACGTCGGCTGATGGGGACATGTAGTACTGCCGATATGATTCGCAAGCTTCTGCATCTGGCCATGACATTCGAGAAGCGCGATCGGCTGGCCGCGGCCCTTGCCGTGTACAACTGCACCAACTGCCTCCTCCCAGCAACCAGCACCAAGCTCAAAGCGCGTATCGACCGCCTCCAAACGGAGCTAACGAGTGCACGTCACATGTTGGTGGATTTAAAAGCACCGATCGAGACGACGCTTCAAGTACGTTGAGAAAATCGCTTGGACGTGTCTCATAACCTTTGGTGCGATAGGCCATTCTGACCAACGATGTCCTCGAGACGCTCAACACAGGCTCGAAGCCAGCGCTGTTGGAGCTCCAGGGCATTGGTGGGAAGCGCGCGGCGGAGATTTTGCGTGCCCGACGCCTCGGACCGTTCACATCCGTGCACGATTTACACCGGGCCGGCATGTCGACCAAGCACATTCAGAGTTTTCTCGAGTGCAACGTGGCCTCGCCAGCCCGCTTATAGACACCCTGTTTTTGGAAACTATTGTCCTTGGAGCGTAGTATCGTATTTAATTGTACCCTTTCTTGTTCACGCGTTTCTATTTACGGAGGTCAACATGCGTGCCGAGAGTCGTCTTCCTGGAAGATCGCCCACGGGGCGTCAGAGAGCGCCTCCATCGCGTCGTCGCACTCGTCGTCGGACTCGTCGTCGGCCAGCGTGTCGTAGATGTCGATGGCGCCTTCGCGGTAGACGCAGTTGGTAAGGGCATAGAGGATCGACACCACGCCTTTTGCTTTCAGCGGGTTGCCGTCGAGGTTCATGGACGTCATGTGACACGTCTGCGGCCACTCCAACCACGGTCAACTGGCGACTGGTCTCAGACACACACTAAGCCACGAGCGCAACTACGATTGCCGAGATCTGGATGGCCTCCAGTCGCGCTCGCCTTTACCACGACGTCCATTGGCATAACAATATTGCGTGCACTGCTTTAGATAGTACCGGCATTGGTCGAGGGCCACTCCAACCACGGTCAACTGGCGACTGGTCTCAGACACACACTAAGCCACGAGCGCAACTACGATTGCCGAGATCTGGATGGCCTCCAGTCGCGCTCGCCTTTACCACGACGTCCATTGGCATAACAATATTGCGTGCACTGCTTTA